GCCCCTATCCACCCTCCAACCTTTCACACCCACCCCGCCCGTGACGCTGGTTTTACCTTCTTCCCAATCCAAGTAGTTCTGCTTACGACATTGACTCACTTCCCGACGCATTGATGCGCGAAACACCCCGTGGACGCGCGTATGCGTTAGCGCTCGTACTCAGAAATTAGCATCCACGCCTGACCGTAATAAATTCCTAATTTCCTTGTAAATTCCCTATACATTCCCAATCTTCATTCTTTAATTCTTCTCAACGCCCTTTTGTCCAAGGGTAAATAGTAAATACCTGAATATCTAAATAGATTCGCCACCCTCCAGTCTGGGGGTGACCTTGACCGGACAACGATTGCAGGCAGCGGGGCTAAGCTGAGCCCACCACCACACTCAGCCCTGATCGAAGCACAGTCGAACGAGTCTGTCTCTGGGGTACTTCATGCGCTAGGTACAGATATTTCACTACGAGTCCCATAGCTGGATCTATTTGTGTTCCTACCGTTGTGTACATAACTGTTGTTACTGTTGTTCACTGTGTAAATTGTTGTTGTTACTGTTTTTTTTTTTTTTTTTTAATAAACGGGCCCATTGCCCGAGGCTGATATTACCAATAAGAAGATTGAGGCCGGGGTCCATACAGTCTACCCGGAGTGACCGAACCGAACTTGCTGAGAACCGGGCTCAGCGTCCCTCATATAATGATGATGATGAACTTTTGCCGATTCTATGTAAATTGTGAGATAATCTGTGAGATAATCATAGTAATGATGGTGATGCTAATGATGGTGATGCTAATGATGATGATGATTAGTATATAAAAAATTTAGAAAATTGCTATATCTGCAATTCTGACCTCCTTTTTTCTTTTTAACAGCACAGCTCCAATGCAGACTCAATACGCACGTACTCCAAAGTGTCCAAAAATGAAGAATGAGCTGAAACAGACTGCAGCTGGGGTATAACCCCAGCGGACTGAATGGACTGGACTGGACTGGCCTGATACCGACAGTGGTACCGGAAAGGACTGGACTGGACTGAATGAGCACACGGTCCGTGGGGTCAGGCCACAACCTGGTCCCACAGGCCGAACAGGCAAATGGCCTCGGAGGCAGCTTGAGGTGCTGGTAGGAGCAGTCACTTCAAGCTGGTCCGGGGGAGGCTCCATCTATGGGTGAGGAGCAACACCTGTTGGGAAACAGGCCCAGCGTCCCAACTTACAGATATCACAGGATTCACAGTAATTATGCATATAGGCCGCTTGATACAGGCGTACAGTCTCTGACGTATAGTGTGTGTGATGTGTGTGTTTCAAGGTATATGATTCGGTGATGTTTGTAGCTGCATTTAGCAGCATTGGCAATGTTGTACTGAGTCCTAGTGTTTAGCAGCATGGCCTCCTAATCCTAGAACAACTCCTAAGTTAAACCCTCCCTGTACCATGACATTGCATCTCAAAGACAATGCCATCCTAACCAACGACAACCATAGCTGACCTGTTCTCGCCACCTAGACCATTCGCGGACCCATAGGTTGTCAAGGCAGCCCCCCCGGTTCGCCATTGGATTGCTTTCCTCCTTCAACAAAACCCCAGATCTCTCTACAAGGCCTCACACTCCTGCCATTTGCAGGTTACAGGGCTGCAACGCCGCAACTCTGGTCAGCGTCGTTCTGGCGTCGACAAACCAGGGGCACAAAACAAAGCAACTCTGCAGATATCAGTCCAGACTTGACCATCTCCGAAATTCTATGTCCCGAATGATGAAGAAGGCCAGATGCTGCCAAAAATTACAGAACACCAGCAAGCTTGATATAATATGATTATAAATTATGGAATTCTGAAGCACCTGTTGTGTAGATTAATCCCCCCCCTCCCCTGCTTCCCACCCTATCCCGACACTGCCTCCACCAAAACGGATTAGCCAGATGGCAGGCATCCCACCTGAGCCCCAACTTGGGCAGACCCACATTCCCCCTTCTTATCCCACAAAGGCATACAGTTCCCTCCCAAAGTATGCCTCTGCCCACCTTTTACCCTAATCTGCCCCACTGGGATGTGTACCCCAACCCCAACCCCAGAATACGGCAAGTTGGAGCCTTGGGTACTGGGCCCTTAAGAAAAAAAAAAAAAAAAAAAAAAGAAGCACTGGGCCCAACTATAGGCCGTGGAAAAAAAAAAGAAAAAGAAAAAAAAGGATAGACAATTGATTTTGAGAATTCAACTCGACTTTCTGTCTTTGAGTAATTGGCTTTAGTGTGCAAACAATTTTACATTTTTCAAACAATAGATGGCCAGGGTTGCTGTTCGTGTATCTGCGCCATGGTTTGGGGCACCACATGATTGATTTGCTGGACCCTTGCGCCACATTGCTTCTCCCCACCCGACTCCTTGCTGTCTCCCTCACTTGCACTATCATCTTTCCCCTTCTTCAATCCTTTGATTTTCATCGTCTACCTCTGAATTCTCTCCCTCTCGTGCTTGTCTTCTTCATCTTCGATTGGTTCAATAGAGATGGATGCCGGATCGATGTGTGAAGATGGGTGCATACCTCCGTGCTGGGCCTGAGTGGGTATCCTCATCAAACATTCCTCTCCAATCTCCTTGTGCTCTACTGTGATCGGTTATTCCCCCCCTGCCCCACTGGTGCTCTTTCTCATGCTGCTGAATGCTTGAAATGTCTCAGTCGTGGTACCTTTTTTCGCTTGTTCCTTTGTCGGTAGATCAGCAAGCATAGTTGAGTTGCAGGCATTTAAAAGGGCCTGGAATGCCGGTAATGAGATTCCAGTGATGTCTACTCCATATATAACTGATACTGTCTCATATCGCTCACAACGGACTGAAAGCCTTTAACACGGACCGAAACTTACTGTTCTCGAGCGTGGGGGTTGGGGAATGGGGGTCATTTTGCCAGCACACAGGGCGGTTCGTACACAGGGGTTATGACTTAGCTTCATGAGCAGAAACGGTGGTAGTGTTCACTTACACTCGGGCTACGGTCACCTTCATGAGCAGAAATGGTGATAGTGGTCATTACACTCGGTCTACGGTCACCCGAATATAACAATGTCTGGTGGGCAAGTGGCTAGGGAGGTAGAGTAGATGTGTGGCCTTACTCATGATTTGTCTCCATCAGGGTTGTGTCATCCTGCTACTGCTGCCAGTTTCATTGGTCTGTGTAAAACAGGAAACACGATGTTTAGGGACGCTGGACCCGGTTTCCAGCAGGTGCAGCTCCCCACCAATAGATGGAGCCTCCGCGACTGTGGTAGACGTGTCTGCTCTTATCAGCACCTCTATCACAGCTTCGGGTTGTTTCAAGCAAAAAAAAAGAAAAAAAAAAGAAAGAGATTCCAGTGATGTCCAGCAGGTGAAGCTCCCCAACAATAGACAGGAGCTGCCCGGAGGGGTGCTGCCAGGGGTTGCTCATATCAGCCCAGGCAGCAGCAACAGGGTGCTGCCAGGGGTTTCTCATAGCAGCCCAGGCAGCAGCACCAACGGGCATTTTGAAAAAAAAAAAGGAAAAAAAAGAAAAAAAGGGCATTCGTGTGATGGACTGCAGGTTCTCTAAAAGAACCAACAAGCTAGGAAGATTCTCACGCCCGGCACCCGGGCGTGCAAAAAAAAAAAAAAAAAAGTTTTTTTCTTTTTTGGGTTTGCTGAGCTCTCCCAGAGGACTCCAAATCCGGGCTCAATCCAGCGGCCTAACTCAGTTGGTAAGGCTCGCAAGTGGCATTCAGGAGGTCGTGGGTTCAATCCCCGTTGGCCTCATGTATCTTCCTGGGCATGCTTGGCGCCCGCCACCTAGAGATAGACCACTGGATCCCCCAATTGGCATTTAGCAGAGTCTGCTGATGTTCATAGGGGAGGGGACCTGAGGGGAGGCACAGGGATTGGTCCTGTTGGCATGGTCCCTGATGCTACCGGCTGTCCCCTAGCCGGTATCGCCCACCTGCAGGTCGGGAGTAGCCCCCGCATGTTCTCTCGTGAACACGGTTCTGGCTGCTACGGGGTTCCCCGTATGCATACAACTAGGAGTAGTGGTAGGTAGGTAGTGTGAGGTGAAATTGAGAGAAGAATATAGCTTTTTAAAAAAAAAAAAAAAAAAAAAAATCCGGGCTCATTTCGTTTTTTGCGAGTTTGCTGTCAAGGGGGGAGAGGGGGGTAGAAATTGGTTTTAAAGGGGCTAAAGGGGTCTAAAGGGAGATGCCTTTGTGTGATTCTGTTTTTTTTTTTTTGATCTCCGATTCTGTGAGAATTATAATGTGACCCTCAGCCAAAAGTCGTTTGTATTTCAATCCTACACAACATATTGTTTTTCCGGAATTTTTTGAGTTTTTTTTTTTTTTTTTTGGCGCTGGGGCTGCCCGGAACCCTGCCCGGAGGTCATGCCCAGCCGGGCACCCGGGCGTGTATCCGGGCAGAAGTTGGGTGCCCGGGCGCCCGGGCGCCCGGGAAAACAGCCTAGCCAACAAGCTGATTATCCCAGTGAGGTGGCAGAAGGACCTGAGCATAGATACGTCAGGCAACGAACTGACTACACTTGCTCGGATATTGTGTTGCTGCAGCACTTGCCACATGCAAACATTTTTGAATGTATTCGGGCTAACCCGGTGCCCGGATTCACTCAGGGTGTTGGCATTTGGCCAATGGTGCGGTGAGGTCCAGTGTCTCTACTGAGCCTGCCAATATGCTGAGATTTGAGTGATGGTTGTCAGCAATGTGATCCCCTTTTTTTGTAAAGAAAGCAATGGTTGTAAGTCTGAGTTTTTCATCTAAGCTCTTCCCTCCTCTTCTTTTGGTTTATGAATGATAGTGCAATTGTATCAAGTTTTCTGCTCAACATATTAGCCTCGACTTTTCTTCCTATGAGACTGTGGATGACTGTGGATGACTGTGACGATGCATGACTGCATGATGGTGTCAGTTGGTTATGGGTTGGTTCCATGAAGTGAACTCTTTGTACATGTGTATAGATGTCGGTGTATTGTAGATGAATGCGGGATTGAGCTCCACGTGCACTACACCAATTCAGGATTTTTATTGGACTGGCTGGGAGGCGCTGCAGGGAGGGCTTGGGTGAGGTGAAATGGCCAGGGGGGAAAGGGACAGAAGTGCCCTTCCAGAGGGACTTCCAACTCATCTTCTGGGACTGGTTGGTTTACGCTTCAACCAGGAGCCTCTCTCAGATTTCCAGAATTCTTTCTCAGATCCATTTCTTCAGTCTGAGATTGCCTTGGCTGATATGCAAGGGTTTGGATTGGGTGCGTTTTTTTTTTTTTTTTTTTTTGAGAAAACTAGGGTGCCGTCAGGGTTAGAGTTTGAAACTACGTTTCAAACTGCCGTTTTCGACTCCAGTCCCCTCTAAAGTTTACACTGCAGGCCAAACTCCTCCGTCGCGTGGCTGTCGCAGGGCAGAGTTTGTAACTGCAGTCTAGTCATCCATGTCGGAGGCTGTAGCATACTGCGTAGCCACACGGGCCCTGCAGGGCCCGTCCCGGACATTCAGCCTAAAAGCCTAAAACTTAGGGCTTACAGGCCCCGTTCGTTTCAGCCTGGAAGCTGAAAAACGAGGGCCTGCAGGCCCTACCCCGTTTCAGCCTATTTCTGGGTCTTTTCAGACC